CCGGGCTGGATTCAAACCCGCCACCTTGGGTGTGCGTGGCTGGCGCTTTAGGCCACTTGAGCCACAGGCGCCAAGCCTACTATTTTAATATATAGGTGGATTCAATTTAATAAGTTAACACCTACACTTGTAAGTGCCTGTGGTCTATAGTTTGCTAAGCTTTGAAAGCTTCATAATTTCCCATCTTTTTTAATGTTCTGGAGTGGCTTTAATGACATGGGCGGTCTACTTCGTGAGGGTGAATTAAGCCCACCATTGTCTTGGCAGACTGCCTGGATTCAGAGGTATTCACTGACCAACATCTTAAAATTCCTTCAAGCCATAAATCTATGTCAGTTTCCTATCTCTTCTGGAAAACTATTTCACTCAGCAAATTTACATTTTCTCAGAGAATAATATTTTTCAGTGATTTTCAAATTCATTCAAACTTAAAAAATATATTTTTCTTGATCACTTTAAAATATCTGATTTTTTCCTCACCCATGTCATATATTTGCATTTGCTTTTTTCTACATTAAACATGCACAATGACTGCTTTGTTTTACTGTCTTTTAAAAAACTGTTTTCTCACTAATTTCTGCCTTGATTTTTGATTCTCCTTTTCCTGTTTTCCTTAGAGGCATTTTAGTTTCTTCCAAGGTTCTTGAGTTCAAAGCTTTATTTATTTATTTTTGAGACAAAGTCTCGCTCTGTTGCCCAGGGTAAGCTCTATTGCCTGTGGTGTCAGCCTAGCTCACAGCATCCTCAAACTTGTTGGGTGCATGTGATCCTTTTGCCTCAGCCTCCTGAGTAGCTGAGACTGTAGGTATGAACTACCACACCTGGCTAATTTTTTTAATTTGTAGAGATGGGGTCTTGTTATGTTGCTCAGGCTGGTCTTGAACTCCTAACTTCAAGCAATCCTCACACTCTGGCTTCCCAGAGTGCTAGGATGATAGACATGAGCCACTGTGCCCAGCCCATTATTTTGTCTTTACCAAAATAAACGTAAAAGGCTATACATTTTTCTCTGAATAAAGTTTCACTGTATTTGGTCAATTTTTTAAAGTTGTAGTCTCACTGTCCTTCCTTACTTGAGCTGACTCATGTTTCAAAGTGTTGACATGCCTATTAGTCTTTGTTTCAGAATTCAGAATACAAATTTCTCCTGACTTATGATGAGGCTACATTCTCATCATAAGTTGAAAATGCATTTCCTCTTGTCTAAAAACACTTCCTTTTCCTAGTTAGTTGTTTGGTTACCTGGAGGGTCAGCACTCCTACAAAACAAGGCATTTCTAGACAGAGGAAGGTGTGAGGGCCACTGTAGCCCAGCCCCTCCTCTCGAGCCTCTGTTTTGCCTTTCCTTTTGACCTAAGAGTTGTGAGATGGCCCCATTTCCACCTGTGCTCCAGTCCATTCCAAGTCACCAATTGACCAAAACTCTCTTTACAGAGTTATCAGACCAGGAAAAGTCATTCCTCTGACCTTAAACCTGACCTTAAACTCCCACTAAACTCCCCCCATAAGCCATCCTTGTCCGCTTCTCCAGGCTTCTCCCGGCTTCTCCCATATCACTACTTAAACAATGTAGCTTACATCACAGGGCCTAGGCCCAGGGCCAGGTCTTTAGGCCTCTGCTTCTCCCTGCATACCAGTTGAGCACCTTCTTATCCCCACCAGGTGGGATCACCTGTTGCTCCACAAGTGCTGTGGTAGACACCTATGATAACATGCCTGCTCTAGTCTTTTCTTTAAGTTTTTTATTATGTAGACTATTTCATCCATGTTTGTTCTCTGGATGAAAATCTCCTTTTAAGAACACAACATTCAGTGAACAGAATATTGCCTGGTAGATAGTCTTAAGGATCTACTTTGACAAATAAAGAAAATCAATTTCACTGGCACAACAAACAATGTTGCACACAAATAATGTCCCAGACGTCTGACGGGGTATAAGACGAATTTCCTGAACAGGTCTGTTAACTTGTGCCACACAGGCTGTCAGACATGTTCCTAAACCCAGCTCATATCCACTTGACTCCAAATGCCAAGTCAGGATAGCATGATGATGCAAGGAAGGTCACTGCAGCAACTTCAGAGGAGCTGCCAATCCTACCCTGGCTGACAGTTAGAGGTATCTAGTCTTATGCAATCAACAATTTTCTTGCTCATTTAAGATGAAACTTACATGACTAACACATAACTTGGGCAGCAGCATACCTTTCACCAGTTTCCCATCTGGGACGGTTTTACTGGATGTCGCCTCCTTTTTCCCGCCTGCACCTGTTCGCCCTCCTGCCTCTGCCACGTCTTCAGAAATGCTGTCCTCCCCAGCGTCATTCAACTTCTCAGGGGCAGAGTCTGCAGTAGCCTCTTCTGGTGCTGAAACAGTCTGAGAGATCAAATATTACTACAAACTGTTACATAAGAAATTGTATAAAATTTGTTAAAACAGACAGATAAAAAATACACGTATTCCATTGGATAACAGCATTTCTACATTATTGCCTAAAAGGTACTAAGGCAGTGGTTCTCAATCTTCCTAATGCTGTGACCGTTTAATACAGTTCCTCATGTTGTGGTAACCCCCAACCATAAAATTATTTTTGTTGCTACTTTATAACTGTAATTTTGCTACTGTTATGAATCGTAATGTACATATCTGATATGCAGGATATTAGGTAACCCCTGTGAAAGGGTTGTTCGACCCCCAAAGGGGACGCAACCCACAGGTTGAGAACCACTGCACTAAGGGATTTACTTCCAGATTCAGATTTGCTATTTTCTTTTTGAGACCAGAGTCTCATTTTGTTGCCCTCGGTAGAGTGCTGTAGTGTCCTATCTCATAGCAACTTCAAACTCTTGGGCTCAAGAAATCCTCTTGCCTTAGCCTCCCAAGAGCTGTGACTACAGGTACCTGCCAAAATGCCCAGCTATTTTTTAGAGATGGGGTCTCACTCATGCTCAGGCTGGTCTCGAACTCATGAGATCAAGCAATTCATCTGCGTTGGCCTCCCAGAGTGCTAGGATTACAGGCAGGAGCCACTGTGCCTGGCCTAGATTTGCTATTTTCTGATATAACAGAGTCAAAAGAAGAAGTGAAAGGAGATGTTCCCTCTTCTGGAAAACCATTATACTTCTTAAATTCTTAAAGCTCTGATACTCCCTTGTGAACCAATCATTAATATCTTTTCTTTGGATACTGATTACTGAGAAGACTTTAGAATTCCAAATTACCCCCATTGCTTACAGGAAAGTCAATTTTCTGCAGTGTGAGTAATCAAAAAGAAGGTCTGAGAGACCCACAGATGAGAAGGTGTCTCTCACCTCTACCAAAACAGGCTCCAAAATGTCAGGTTGTACCTATGACTGAGAAGAGGGCCAAGGCAGTAAGAAGGATTGCAGGGCAAGAATGCTCTAAACTGTGCACAGACACCAGGGCAGGGCCTGGTGAAGAGGGAGGGTGTGAGGAGCAGGTGGCCAAGCTGCAGGACACAGTCCTCCACTCTGGACAGCTTTGCCAGTAGCAAAGCCCGTGCTTACATTATATACATTCAAAAACATGCTAATACAACAAGAGAGTAGCTAAAAATAGCAGAAGCCAAAATACTGAATGCACAAAAAAAGGTTTTTTTCTTTGGAACATGTAAGACAAATGATCATCAATACACTAAGAACATTAGTGAATGTTATCAATAGAGGAGAGCAAAGTTAAAAATTGTACATGCCAGATTACATCAAAAATAAATCTAGAACCAACAGGTCCTCATATATAAACTGAGATAAACAGAAAGTTATTTCTGCACCTGTGCATCTGAGGCACCTGCAATAGAGCTTCACCCCTCACCACCTATAGGTACGCACCTGTGTGCTCTCGCCTCCTTCCTTCTGGAGGAAGAACTGCTTCTTAAACTCGTAATATGCATTGTACTGGTGCCACGGCTGTAGGAACTCAAATCTGCACAGAGAAGAGGACAAGCCATTTAATAAGACAGGCACTGTTCTGGACACTCCACAACAGCTTTTGTGTTAATAACTTTGTGAAAGGAGACTGAGGCAGAAAGCAGTGAAATCATCTGCCCAGGCCACACAGATCATGCTGTAAATGCAACCTCATGCTTCATGTTTTACTACCCAAAGCCCAGAATACTATTTGATTCGAAAAAAAGGAAGGTTTGTATCTAAATCTCCAAAGCTGATTCTTGGAAAACATGAATTCCAACCTTTTATTTTAGATAGCTTCAAAGTTTTTTTTTTTTTTAAGAGACAAGAGTCTCACTTTATTGCCCTCTGTAGAGTGCCGTGGTAGCGTCACACAGCTCACAGCAACCTCCAACACCTGGGCTCAGGTGATTCTCTTGCCTCAGCCTCCCGAGTAGCTGGGACTACAGGTGGTCACCACAACACCCGGCTATTTTTTTGTTGTGGTTTGGTCAGGGCCAGGTTTGAACCCACCACCCTCGGTATACGGGGCTGGTGCCCTACTCACTGAGCCACATTCTTACTTAAAAAACAAAACAGTTAACATAATCAAAACCACCAACCAAACACTAAACAATTTAACAGGATAAATTTAGCTAAAGACATCTTTGCAAAGAAAAGGGATTAAAACCAGAAAAGAATTATGTAACTAGATTTTTAAAAAGTAAAACCTCAAATACCATATATGTAATATACATAAAATTCTTCATCTGACCTTTGATCATTCTTGGCACGAACGCTGGTCTCAAATTTCAGGCCATTCCTGGCGACATATTCTGCCAACTTGTCAATCACAGGCTGGATGTCGGGGGGCGGGGGAATGATGGCAGCCACGGGAGCAAGTGCACTGTGGAGAAGAGCCCTATGAACTGAGTGACCTGGTGCCCTGGCTGCTTTTGGGGCCTTTCCTGCCTCAGACACATAAGTATGTGGGTCAAAAATACATGGGGAAGGCTCTTTATGGAAGGTGAAGCTAATTAAAACCAGATAGTGAAAATAGAATTTTATTGAAAAAGGAGACTTAAAGTGATAAAAACAGGTTCATTTTTTCCTGCTAGTTAACATTTCCCCAGTTATAAGCTAATTCTTAGAAACAATAAATAAGTCAAGTGCTAGTTTTTTGTTATATTGAAAAAGTCAGCAAGCATGACCAAAAATTCTTCCCTTTAATGTTTGAGTTTCTCAGTGTGATCTGAAAGAGGGATATATATATATATATATATATTTTTTTTTTTTTGAGATAGTCTCACTATATCACTCTTGGTAGAGTGCCATGGCATCACAGCTCACAGCAACCTCAAAGTCTTGGGCTTAAGGGATTCTCTTTGCCTCAGCCTCCTAAGTATCTGGGACTACTGGAGCTCATTGCAACGCCCGGCTATTTTTTGGTTGTAGTTGTCATTGTTGTTTAGCAGGCCCAGGCTGGGTTCAAACCCACCAGCGCTGGTGTATGTGGCTGGCGCCCTAGCTGTTGACCTATAGGTGTCAAGCCATGAAAGAAGAGGGTCATATTTTGCAGAAACATTTAAGTGTTCCATTAAGTTTTCTGAGAGCCTACTGTAAACATGGGTCATTCCAGTCCCTCTAATAGGACACCTGTCCTGTATGTATTGCATCCACCACACAGCACTGAGCCTTTCTGTTGGAGGGCTGGGCGCTTCAGTGTTGTCTGCACAGGTTATCTGGTCTAACCACCAGATCCTCAACTGCAATAGCTTCTGCAAGACTCAAGAAATGTCCCAATGGCTTTGTCAGCAACTCTGGCATCCTGCATGTTTTGCAAACAACTGTAGTTCACCTCACACTGAATTGCCTTTTACTGTCCAGTAAGACACCAACAGAACATACAAGATGTTGGAGGTAAGGCAGGGCTATATGCTAGATGAGAATTAAAGTATGTAAGTGGCTGGACTTCCTTGCTAAGAATTTTTATGTTATGACAATTTCTGTTTCCCTGTCAACTTTGGAACTTGGGTTTTTCTTTTTGTTGTTGTTGTTTTTGAGATATTCTTACTCTGTCACTCTGAGTAACGTGGCATCATAGCTCCCTTAACTCAAACTCTTGGGCTCAAGTGATCCCTTTGGTTCAGCCTCCCAAGTAACTGGGACTACAGGCACCCGGTTAGTTTTTCTATTTTTACTCGAACTCCTAAGCTCAAGCAATCCACCCTCCTCAGGTAAATGCTAGGAGTGCAGGTGTGAGCCACCCACCAATCTGGTATAACTTGGGGATTTTGATAATAACTACTGAGGTAATGAAGACCTTGTGTGTTACCCAGATTACAATTTCCCCATTGAGATGCAGACTTCTGTAGGGACTGCTATGCTGAGTGGTTCATAGTAGGTGAGAGGGGCAGCACTTACCTTGTGGTGGTGGTTGTGGAGGTGGCCCCACTGCTTGTTTTGGCTGTGGTTGGTGGGGGTGGCGGTGTGGTCCCAGGAGGTGGGGGGGCAGTGGTTGTCACCCCAGGGGAACTGGACACGGTCACTCCAGCAGGAAGAGTGCTGTAGTAAGTAGCCACATCGATTCCCGGAGGGGGAGGCGCCAGGCAGTAGGTGCCATCCGGCAGCATGTAGTAGCTGTAGTACATGGCAGCTACAGCTGCTGGGAAGACAGATTTGGGGAGTGAGTGTGGCAAGGCCAGGCCAGGCCCCCCAGATACACTGTTGTGTCTGCCCATTTCCAACCAGGTTGTTCTCTGTTTCACTGACACAAGGCTGCCCACACAACAAACAATTTAGAAAAACTAGATGAAGCCAGAACACATGTCCAGGGATAAACAGAAAGTGAACAGTATAAGGACATTCTAAACAACCAAATATGAATGTTCTCTAGATAAATAAATGTTCTCCCTAACTTCAGAATGTGCAGAATTGGAAAAAAATCCCCTCTCTACAGGCAACTGGTTACCCTTCTTTAAGTGGCGTGTCAAGATAATCAATGCTTATGAAAAAGCACACATGTAAATGACTGCCCTTGGCTTTCCCCCATTTTGACACCAACTCTACATTCTCTTGGCATTTTACTTTTTCCATTTAAATGTTCATCTTGGAAACTGTCTCATCTACAAAGCTGTGTTGCTCTTTTTAACATCTGCACTGGGTGCCTCCCCACCCCTGTAGATGTGCTGTAATGCATTTAAGAAGTTTTAACAGACACTGGGCTGTTTCTGAGCTTGTCTATCATCAGTTGTGACACACAATTTTGTGCACACATGCTGATATCTATAGGATAACAGCACACTGTTTCAACAATTAAAAATTCTCTAAATTTATCCATCTCTTGTGATAAAAATGTTCAAAACCAGCACAAATTATAAAAGATTTAATCATGAAATCATAATTTTTTATTTTTAATCCTGTTGTAGATAAGCAACTGGTTCTGACTACACAGAGAATTAATTTCTCTTTCATTAGGGATGGTGAAAAGGTTTATCTAATTAAGAAATTTTCATTTCTTGATTCAATTTCATGATTCATTTTCAATTAATTCATTTAAAAACAGCAACATTAGTAAACACTGAAAGCTTTATGTTGACCATGGTTTTCAGTAATACATGTTATGCAGGATAAAAGATCACGAGGTATAGAAACGTTCTATCTCTCAGTGATACTTAGATCACTGCCTTTCCATGTGAGGCTGGGGAGAATGCATGAGTCCAACATGCTATAGGCATACTCACACTTGTTAATGACTTACTGCTTATTAATCACACATGTGTCTACTTTTAGGCTGTCATTCTCCAGCTCAGAGGTGTCCAAACCTTGGGTTTCTCTGGGCCACACACTTAATACACACCCACTTATGAAAGCTGATGAGCAACTCCCCCCAAAGATCTGTGCATAACTTTCCTGATACCTACCACTACAGATAAGCAAAAATGTTCTCACATAATAATACTAATATCTGTGCATAATTTTCCTGATACCTACCACTACAGATAAGCAAAAATGTTCTCATATAATACTAATATCTGTGCAT